TCAGCCAATCTGCAATCCATCTGACTGTGTAGGCATCGATGCCACAGTCGCCTAGTTTTTTAACTAGGATGGGGTGAGAGACGGTGTCAAAGGCCTTGCTGAAGTCCAGAAAGACTACATCCACCGCGACACCTGCATCCATGGCCTTTGTGACCTGATCGTAGAAGGCAATCAGGTTGGTCTGACATGATCTCCCCCTAATAAATCCATGCTGATTGCCCCTGAGCATCATTATTGATTATTATTATTGGTATTGATTTCAAATACCACTGTCTTGAACTGATCTAGCCAATATCCATGTAAAATCAGAACTAAATCTACTGAAACGAATAGTATCATATTGGTGCAAAAATAGTATTAAGAAGATCAAAACAGTCCCAATAATTGTATTACCAAGGTGCCTCAAACAGCATTCAACTGTGCTGATATTCCTTTCACACCTAATTAGGAGTTCCAAGGTGGAAAGGAATCAAACAGATTCTTGATCATCTCAAACAGATTGCATTTCTATCAATAAGCCACATAAATCCACTGCCACACTTATCAGGTTGTCCTGCTTCTTGCATTTCAATTCTTGGACTACTACTTTCAGGAGCGATAAAAATTCTTGCTATAGCACTGGTTATATTTTATTCTCCCCCCTAGTAAAACTTTTTTGGGGAGAGAAAAGGAGAGGGGAGGGAGATCAAGTCTGATAGCTGCACAGATATTTGGACACAGTTTTTTTTATAGAAACTATTGTGGTCTTAAACGTGTTTTATTGGAAGGTCACCAATGTCATTTTTTATCTTCAGTGTAAATGCAAGACCACCTGTTGTCCTGTTTACAGTTCATGTTGGTAGCATATCCCTTTTCTGTTTCTGATTTGATGCTTTGATTGGTGACTTCAGCTGCATTTATTATGTATTTTCCAGCAGCTTCTGAAAGTGCTTCATTACCTAAGTGAACCATATGGTTATTTTGTAAAGTAGACCTCATAGATATCTTGGATCTAAATTTGAATAATCACTTCTTGCTTCCTCTGAAAACATCAACCTAAAATTTATTGATCATTTCAGCCGAGATATTTTGCTACAGGATATCACATTGACAACATTTTTATAGTGACTTAATGCAAAGTATTTAATTTATTACATTAAAATTAAAATCAAGTCTTATGTTTTAGAGAATCCTGCATTTGTGCCCTGAACTAGTCTAACTGGATATTCTACTTAGGTTCTGGCCCTGAAAAATATATAAATGAGTAAATAGCTCAACGAAATTATTTACGTACTTAAAATTTGCCATATCAGTCTTTTTATAGACTCAACAGATCAAACAGAGGGTATAGGGAAATAAAAGAATCATTATTATTGAAAGTTGTCCATACATGTAAATATTAAAAGTGAAAAGACAAAAGCACTGAACTGGCTCTATTATAATAGAAGTTAAACCACAATAAAATACATTTTATAATGATGTACTTTGTAGCCAGAAAAAGATCTCCACATACTAAATGTACTAACATGAGAGGACTTTCATTTACTAAAATAATAAAATCCCAGTGCGCTCCATTTATCTGCATTTGGGCGGAATGCAAAATTTGCATAGCACGATTCTTGTCACAGTTTTTTGCCTATTACAAACAACATGGGCCATCTTCAGAGCTACACCATATGTCCCGCAGGGCTCTAAGAGGGGCTGTGAACTTGGAAGGAGTGGGGGCACCCAGAGGTGCAGCCGCTGAAACCTGGGGTATAATAGAGCCATGCTGGACATGCTTGTTGTTCACCGCTTGACACTAACATGCATTAAACCCTGCAGCTCCCTGATGCCACAAACTCTGCCACTGGGTTCAGATAAGGAT